GGATCTATGGGAGATAGGAGTTGAAGGAGACTGGATTTTGTTGGCCCAGGACAGGGTCCGGTGGAGGGCTTTGGTTAATTCGGTGATGAACCTTCGGGTTCGGTAAGCCATCTGGTTGGTTGGGTCCACTATTTGGGAATCCTGAGGGGGAAGAGAACTCTGGGGAGACCTAGACGTAGATGGGAGGATAATCTCAGGCGGGATCTATGGGAGATAGGAGCTGAAGGAGACTGGATTTTGTTGGCCCAGGACAGGGTCCGGTGGAGGGCTTTGGTTAATTCGGTGATGAACCTTCGGGTTCGATAAGCCATCTAGTTACTTAGTTAGTTAATGAAATTATTTATTATGACAACTTTACGAATAAACGTAATCCAAGACCATGGTTTTGTACAGTTACGAAAGATGGTCATTCCAGACTTCTGTTTCCCGTAATCAGAAGCCCTAAATGCGAATTAAGGGTAAAAGTTTGATATTTCTAACTTCGCCTGCCACTTAAAAACGCAAAACGGGAGAGGCAAGCTCCGAGAGCGATTGATTTTTCAATAAATTAACCGAAGGTGGGGAGTTTTTCTGCTTTCAGTGTGATTAACGACTGAAAATTAAGACGCATCTCAGTGACAACCGCTATTTATATAAAGGTAATTCAGTACACAGAATGTAGCAGTGTATTAATATAACTACGGATGCTACGTATAAAAAATTCATTGCACTGTCGGAAACACAGAAAGGGTGATATTTATTATATTACTTGCGGTAATGTTTGAAGTCACCAGTCAAGTTATTATATTCTAGTAAACGCAATCAGTTTTAATTTATCCTAAGCAGCCATTTTGTATTCCAGCGATTGGAGTGAAATACATCACACGATATCGCTACATACTGACGATTACATATTTTCAGACATTCTTTTACAACAGAATTAGACAAAACTTTCTTTCTCTCGCACAGTATTACTAAAGAAGGCGGAGTTTGTGGTACGTCGTTACTCGATGTGACTGAAGTTTATTTTAAAGGCTGTGGGAAATAATCAAAGCGTCTAACCGACGGCCGCGTTTAATGAAAAATAATCGAAGGCAATCGGGCGTTGTGAGTTGGAAACAGCTGTGTAATGGGAAGCAGAATCGTGTGGGCCGTGACAGAGAAGAATGTGGTGACCTTTCAGGCAGGTGAAGGTATTCAGTTGACCGCAGAGTCGGAAATCTATTTGAGAACGCGGCCAGTAAATGCACTTCGCAGTTTTCCACAACAGTAATGGAATGTGGGTTGTGTTATTCTCTCCAGAATATGGACGCATCTTAAAGCAGAGTTCTGTAAATCCTACAATGGTTTCAACTTCCTTTACAAACGACATCTAGTTACTAACCAGCTGCGACCAACCCCCAGCTATCACCCTGCCATCTACTTGCTGTGCACTCTATTTGCAACCTATTTCGACCTATTAATTATTTATTGACGTAAATACGCCTATAATGAAGGGTCATTCGGCAAAAAAGGGGAACGAAAAAGTGTAACCTGGTTACCTAGAAAACGTCATCTGTTTACTCGGCATTGTTGTTACCTATAAAACATTTCATTACATTACATTACTTTACCTTACATTACTTTCAGCTACCACAGACCCATCTTAAGCGTAACTAATTCAAGTTAAATAAGCAATGTCTTAATCAAACTTTACTCAATTGTAAAGCATGTATAAAGGAAATATTTAGAATAAAGCCAATATATAAACTTCCTTTCCGTATAGACGTATTTACGTCAAATTCTCCGGAACCGTGGTTCCACTGTCAATTTTTTTCATTACCTGTTAAGTATCTACTACCTATATAATAAGCAACTTGGTTAGTTGATGATCATTTGTTCTTAAGGGACTTTTGGGTCGTACGGTACATTACTTATGATTTTGTTGTTATGACAGTTGCCATAGTAACGCTGTTAACGGATACTGGGCCTTATTGAATAACATTTATGTCGGGGTATGTTTACTACATTAGTTTCATTGACGAGCGATTTGCTAGTGTGCATAATAATATAAGTTGTGGTCTCCCACGCACATATTGATCTGTTTCTGTTAATGAAGAAACAAACATCTGGGAAGCCAAATTACTTTTAAATTAGGTTACATTACTTCCATATGTAAGGCAACAGTCTGTGTCCGATTCATGAATAGAGCCGGCTATGGCGATGCGCGTATGTTGATGAATGCATAACGAAGTTACTAGGACCAAAACCTAGGACTGAGATACTCCCACGCCAAGTTTCTCTAGAAATGAGACAGAAAGAGACATTTCAGGATCATGAGTCATGTGACTGGACCTCTGTACACTTGTAGCCACTTTAATGGCGAACAGAGAATGTCCAGCTATAAACAGAATATAAATTGACTTGAATGTAACTTGAAGTTGTCCCCGAGTACAGAAAAGCGGTGGTAACGCTTGACTAGCTCTGAATATCGTCACTAGATTGAGTTGAGAGGTCAGCTTCAAACATTAACCACTAGTACTCCCAGAACAAGAAGCTTCATGGGTCGCACAGCTGGTCAAGACGGTTGGACTGAGATAAATTGAATTACCGCCACTGCATGTTGAAAGGAAGGAAGGAAGAATGAATGTTAGAAGACAAAGGAAGGACAGATGGACCCAAAAAAAAAAAAACACTTTATGATTTAATTTGTTGTGCATTTTATGTGATAGCCTGTATTTGTATCTGCAGTGAATGAACATCAGAATCCAATGACAACAAAAATTAAACAGACGCGCGTCCGCCATATTGTAAAATCAGGGGGTGAGCAAAATAGTAAATACGACGTTACATTAGAACTGCAAAAGTGGCACAGCGTAATATGTGGACTTTAGTAGTTGAAAGTTTCTACGATTTATGGGCACGTACGAGCCATAAATCAAATTTAACTTGCAGCAGGAGCACAAGTAACACAATGGGGTGGGAGGCAGAGAATTTCTGAGCTTAAGCGTTTGAAATACTATTGCAGTATTTAAGGACGCCATGCATGCGAAAATGATAAAGTGTGTAGAAAGAAAGAAACAACAAAGATCAGCCCACTGTTGCCGTCGAACCGGAAAGAACGTTTCCCCTAAAGAGGAAAACACATTAAACCCAGCATAAGGACTGAGTATAAGCAAACGTCATCGAATAAATCCCGGAAGAGAATTGTTTTTGTTTTTTTTACAAGATAGTTGTATTGCAGTGTCTTTCAGACGATACAGATTTATAAAAGATTCAAAATAAGAGAACGAGGCGGGTTGCATTTCATTAAAAATGCAACGAACGTGAATATTCTCCCAGATCTCACATTTAGAATGCACTAAATAAGGGACGGGAAACACCTCACCGTGACATGTGACCTTCCTTTAACTGGCATGACTCGGTCGCCAGAGTTTCGCTTGTGACGACAGTGTGTACCACGTGACAATCAAGATTTCAATAAGGTAGAAACGCCTGTGTAATGCGAGTTTATCTTAAGTGGAACTAAAATATGGGTGAATATTTGAGGCGATGAGATGGGAATAATACGTAGAATGCATTATGTGAGAAATGCACGCTTTTTTTAATCAGAATACCTGAAGAGATCACAAGGAAGACCTGGGCGTAGATTGCATGACTACATTAATGTTAATACTGAGGATCTGGATTGGATTGATCTGGCTCAGGACAGGCGCCAGTGGCATGTCTTGTGACAGCAGTAATGAGCCATTAGAAGAGTCTTATATTAAGCGAATTTGAGGTTCCCAGGGGAACCCGCTCCTGACTTGAAGCCGCGGACCGCGCGTTCCCAGTGTCAGCCCTCATCCATCATGTAACTAACAGGATCAGGTGGAATGGAGACGGAAATTGGATTTCTAAACCCGAAAAGTGGCGAAAGAGGAACTATCCCTCTTGGATCGTGACCTCCATTTTGTGAGGCTTGTAATTCAGACCCGGTTCGCCGACAGAGCCACTTGTCAGATAGTTGACACGCAATTTGCGAGTTGATGCCATTTCAGTAGCTACAGCAAACCTATGCGTGTTGAGCGGTCGGGCGGGCGTCCGGGCCACCAGCCCCTTTCTGCAAACCTTAAGGGACACTCCTTCAAGTTCGAACAACGAAGAGCAGGCACTCAACCCAACTATTCGGCTGACTGTATCGACCCTAGAAGCGTATGTGGGCGTTGAGGTAAAACTCCACGCTTAACATCGGCCGTAGTCTGAGATGAGTGTTAAGCACACGTTATCCGGGAGAGTGGGCGGGCACAAGGGGCGATCCGAGCACTGGAAGAAAGATGACAGCGTTTGGCTAAGGGATGAAT